AGCAAACAGGCGTTAGTCTCTCTCTGTTTTCACTGGAGGTAACATCTTGCTTGAGACTCTTCAACTAAACGCTTTTTTCTGTGTTTCCAACCAAATTAGTGGTCATTTTGAAATATATTTTACATATTGATAATATATAATGCAGTGCAGTGTTGATTTAAAGAAAATAATCTTGAAATACACCAAGAGAACTAAAATTTTATGGGTGAAATGGTGCCATGGGGTGACTTCTCTTCCACCCCAATGCCTTCTCTTCTTCCTTCTCCTCCACCCCCATTCTAATTCCCATCATCATCCAGGAGCCTTCTACATACACACCTCAAAGTAAGTGAACTTTTCTACCATTTCTGTTGAATTTAGGAAATTTTCGGTGAGCTGGAACCAATTACCCAAAAACCCATTGAAACAATGGTTTCGGTTAACGAACTTTTCGGTTAACGAACAACCTGCTGGAACGGATTGAGTTTGTTAACCGAAGGACCACTGTAATTAGTTAAACCCCTTAAATCTCAATTTGAGAAAAAAGTATATTTTGGTAAAAAATATAGTATGGTGTAAGACTTACATTTTTGGTGGTTTTTGGCCAAAAATTAGATTTTGCTGAAAATCACAGTATGGGCACTCCTGAGGTTAATGATTATGGATATGTGGTCCACGATTCGATTGCACAGTAATTAGTGGCCAAAATGACCCTTGAAAGATTTTACTGACATTTTTCAATGCTAATTACTCATCAACTATGGGTTTCCAAGGTGTGATTTAGAGCTTGTGTATTATTCTGAAAGTATTTAATTAGTTAAACCCCTTAAATTTCAATTCTGAGAAAAAAGTATATTTTGTCAAAAATTTTGTAAGGTGTAAGACTTACATTTTTGGGGCTTTTGGGCCAAAAATTAGATTTTGCTGAAAATCACAGTATGGTTACTCATGAGCTTGCTGATTATGAATATGTGGTCCACGTTTCGATTGCAGAGTAATTATTTGGCAAAATTACCCTTGAATGATTTTACTGACATTTTTCAATGCTAATTACTCATCAACAATGTCAGTTATCCACCTGAAGCTGAAGAAAATCAGACCCTGGTTGTTGTTGTAGTAAAATTAATGTAAAATATATGTATGTTTTAATTAATGTTATTTAATGTACAGTAGAAGTAACCACTGATATTAAAGAAAAGTGAGACTGATGGTGGAACGCCCTTGTATATGTGCGCACTCAAGGAAACAGTCATTTATCTTAAGAATTTGTACAAAAGATTCATTATTGTTTATTACTGAATATGTATTTGATTGAATTAATGTTTATATATGTGAAATGAACAATGCAATTCATTAATAATACGTAGAATATTAAAACACACACGAGGAGACAAGACGGCATTGTTTTCGTGAGTGACGATGGTTCTACATAAGAAACTGAAGAAAATAAGACCCTGCTTGTAGCTGTAGTGAACTTAATTAAAAAAGAATTGAATACCTGTATGTATCTTTTAAGTAATGTTATTTAATGTTAATAAATGGAACACAGGAAGTAGCTAACCATTAATGGTAAAGAAATAAGGCGAGACGATTGGGAACGCCAACGTATGAACAGTTAGTGCGTACATGTGAAAACATATCATCATTTCTCTACATATGAATATGAAAGCAACACTTATTTACTGTTCACATATGTTTTAAATAATATTTACGAATGTAAAAAAATAATTCTACTCACCAATGGTGGTAAAGTCTAAAACATAAGGAGAGCCAATGAATATTGTGCGAGTTTTTACTCAGATGACGAATTCATCAGGTTCAACTCTGGCTGAAGCTGTAGCTTTCCATTAAATCTGTTGCTGAGACTGTTACTGAACCTGAAGTTGATGTTGAAGCTGCTTATGATGCTGAATTTGATGGTGTAGCTGAAGTTGATGGTTTAGGCCTTCGAATAATAAAGCTGTCGAAAGAACCTTGCACAGCTGCTTTCTTTTCTCATTATACATCTTTATGAAGGGTCATTTGCATTTATTTAAGTTTTTATGCTTTCTTCTGTCAGCTTCACATTATGGAGAGAGAATTTTCTCTTAAAATTCTGAAACCAACCTTTACTGGCATTAAAAGTTTGTTCAGTAGCAGCACTAGCCCCTTCATCACCTGTTGACTCTTAAAAATGGGCATAAAGACTCGTAGCCTTCTCACAAATCATGTTACTGTCGATTGGCTCAATTTTGCGGTGCTGGTCCTCAATCCAAATGTTCAATGCTTTTTCTGTTTTCACAATATTCTTGTCACGAACAATCTGCACCACTTTAGCACTTTCAGGAGCCATTGGTTTAACAGAATCACAAATTGCTTGTTCATTCTTCTTTATATACAGCACTGTGGATTTGTTCACACCAAACAACTGACCAGTTGCGGCAGCACTCATCCCCTCTTTTAACTAATCTAATAATTCAACTTTCTTTGTCAGGATCATCACTGACTTGTGCCTTTTACATTTCACTCCACTAGCATCACTAGTACTGACACTAGGGCAGTCTTTTAGGGGTCATTTCACACAGATACACTAAAGTTTTGAGTACAACACAAGAGATGCTGCATCGCATGCAATGGTTGAGCGCAAACAAAGGGAGAGGAGGAGCAGGAGACGCTCCAGGCACGTGGTGGTGACTCGTTGTGTTGCAGGAGAGGCTCGTAAGCTAGCCACCATCTGCTTACCGAGAATAGTTGAAACTGTGAATTGCAAAACCGCGAATAGCAACGGTTTACTGTATATAATTTGTAATTTGACTTCAAAATAAAATGACAAGCCAAATCAGAAGGTAATCACTTCCCTGACCACTGATCGGTGGGGGTGAGACTAGCCATTGCCACGTTTGCTTTTTGTTGTTTTATTCTCGTATGATCAGCCTGATCAAACTATCCTCCTGTAACTTTACTGCTTGCTGTACTTAAGCCATGTGGATTATGCCAGTCAGATCTACAGGTACACTTTCCATCTAGCAGAAGTAGATGTAGTCCACAATATGGGGTAAACCCTTTCACAGCGTTAGGTTACCCTAAGCTGAATAAAATCGTTTGGCAGTAGCCAGAATAAAATGGCAAGTGTGTGACACGCTGTGAAAGGGTTAAGGGTCTGTACAGGTGTTTACAGAACCTCCTTTGTTGACAGTATATATATGTGTAGATTCAGGATTTCCCTCACTAGCCATTTGTAGGGAGGAGGTAGGACTTAGATATGTATCTCGGGTCCTGACCTCTCAATTTGACCCGAACTATAAATTTGTAAAACTACTTATTGATCGTTTGGCAAATCGACCATGACTTTCCAAGGCATTGGAGGTTAGTCTTGCTGAAGCCTCAGTGGACAGCCAAAATTGGCAAAATATAAGTTTCTAAATCACCTCCTTGGTGCTGACCCGAGTTGGAGTTCTGTCCAGTTAGGACTGGGAAACAGATGAACACTCGTCAAGAACTCAAAGCTCAGTTTCTGGAACACAGTATTCGGCACTTACACCAAACCATCTTTACAGATGGCTCTAAATCAGTGAATGGTATTGATTTTTTAGTAGTGGTTAATTGTTTTACTATAAAGAGGAGATTACCGGTCTCTTGCACAATTTTTACCGCTGAACTGCGAGCAATCCTTGCTGCAGTAAAGCACATTTTTAATTCTAGTTATAATGTGGGACAGTATGTTGTTCATACTGACTCCCAAAGTGTTTCATCTTCACTGAAACATTTAGTGCCCACTCACCTATTAGTCCAAGAAGTGCTGGAGTGGCTGGTCCTTCTGCACTCTCAGAGACAGGCAAGGGTGTGTTTTTGTTGGGTGCCTGCAAATGTGGGCATTGAAGGAAATGAGCACGCTGACCTAGCAGCAAAGGAGACAGTTGGTCTCCCTTGTCCTATTAGTGTCAGTATACCTCGTAGTGACCTGAAGGGTTTGATCCACTCTTTTGCTGCTGGGAAGTGGCAAGAGCGTTGGTCCTCCCTGACAGCACAGACTAAACTGCGAGCTATCAGACCTTTTATTGAACCATTGTGGTTCTCTTGTTTTCCCAACAGGAGGAGTGGTATTGTTTTAACGAGGTTGAGGATTGGTCACCTCCACCTCACACATAATTATATGTTTCAAAGTGAAGTTGAGTGACAGGCTCCTTGCTGCAACTCCAGTCATACTAACCTGACAGTTAACCATATCCTAGTTGACTGCAGGTTTTTTAATCTTCAAAGGAGAGACAATTCCTTGAACAATAAATCCATCAACAAAACTTTAAATGATGGAGGTTTTGTTAATGTACTTAAATTTTTAAAACAAATTTGGTTATATTTTAAGTTATAATATGGAAAAATAATTTTAATCTGAAGCATATACTTAGGTGCTCAGTGGCCCCTTGGTAGAAACAGAGCCAAGTCTTTTCCTTATCTGTTTGTACGATTGGGGGTGAAGCATCAGCCGGTATCAGTTTGTTTTAATAGGATGTTGTCATTTTTATATAAGGGATACACCCAAATTACCATACTGCGCTGAATGGCCCATTGGCTCCAGTGCATGGCTTTGAGCCTAAAATCCATGTGGCTGAATTTGTGTTGAACTGAAAGCTAACCAATCACAGTGCAGCATTATGGGTGAGTCCATTCATAGAGTGAGGGAATAAACTACTCACGGGTCTGAGAGGAGGAGAGAGGCCTCAAGGGAATGTTTGCTGGCAGAAATTTCAAATGATTGCGTGCGGTGGGAATTTCAAACGACAATTATTTCAGAGTTCGGACACATGTTTCTTGTCCGGAAAGGGTCCAGACTTATTTAGGTTTACTGTATGAATGTATTGATACATTTTTTTTTTAAATAAGTAAAAAAAAAAAAAAAAAAAAAACTTAAATCACAGTCCAATTATGTTAGTAATCAAAGAACCTTATGTCAGAGAAAAATGTCTATCTGTGTTTATGCTATACTGTACAGTATATTAAATATGTATTTGTAATCTTTCAGTATCATATATATATCATTATAGAAGTGATTCGATTACCACACTCTGGTCGAGTTATGAGAACCCTGGCTGGAGCTCCACCGATCCATCAGCGGTCTTTTACTCCTCCACAACCCCTTAACAATAATGAAAATGAGGCAGCCAAACTGAAGATTATGTCAACAAAGCATCTTACGGCAGAGGTTAGTTCTTCTTGTATCCTTTGTGAAGTTATGTCACAAAACTCCAATTGAAAGGCAAAAGTCATGGAAGATACTACCATACAGTACAGGTTTTGTAATTATATGAAGGGGAGGATTATGTTGCAAGTCTACTAGAGAATTAATAAAGAAACCATTTGAAGATTTATTTAAAGAACATACAGATTCAATGCACTAAGAACATGCATAAATGGGAAGGAAAAATTAAATCACTTGTATAGTACATTGTCAGTACAATATAGTAGTCCCTCAATATTCATGGTTTCTGGATTTATACATTTAACATATTCATGATTTAGTAAATATATACCAGTTCTCAGTTCATGACCCCCAATCTCTAGTATTTGTGAATTTTCAAGTACTTTTAATCCAATAAATTTCTTCCAATACAGCTTCTCCCCGTCTTACGACGGGGTTAGGGACCCAAATCCAGGTCGTAAGTTGGAAATGCCAAAAAAAAAATATATATATATACTGTACAAGGTATATATATATGTATCCCCCGCGTTACGGAAGGGTTCCGTTCCCGGAAAATTGACCGTATCGCGAAATTCCGTAACGCGAAACCTATTTTCCCATTGACTTTCATTATAAAACTGGAGATGCGCTCCTAAGGAATTTTTTCAGCCCCAAAAAAGTAATTCAAGCACTTTTATTAATGAAAATAAACATTTATAAACACATACAATACAGTACTGTACATTAAATAATTTATGATATACAGTAGTACCCCGATTTACGCTGTCAATTGAACCCACAGGGTACCGCGGAAAGTGAAATCCGCGTAAATGGAACAACAGAACATATGGGATTAATTCCAATAGAGACTGGCCCAAACCCCAAACTCCACTTTTTCCGACACAATACCTATGTTGTAGTAAAAATAACATATAAATTTTATGATGGTATGCTCACACAATTAATATTTAAGAGAAATACAGTCACCAGGTTAATGTCCATTCAAATAATAGACTCAAATCCCCCTTCCCAGCTCACTGGCTCTACCTCTCTGAGAAATGATTGGGTGAAACACTAGATTTTAACGTAGTAATAAATAATACCTCAACTAAAGTTAGGATAATATAATTGACATTTCTGGATTCCTTGCGGAGGAATATTTTGAATGTAAACTTCATATATTTTGCACAAAATAAAATATTTGCTTTTAGAACCAAATTTTACATTAGATCTAAAATTTGTATGTCTAATGCAAAATCCATGATGTTTATATTCAAAATGATCATCATATTGTAAGAATTCCAGCAATGTAAATTATATTCTGGCCATAATTTGTATGAATTTTATGAGCTAAAACAAATATCTTCAGTAATAAAAAAAAATATTCTTGACACTATCTGTCAATCAAAGTACACTTGCCTCCCCCTCTTCCAAATTGCGATGGTGGTTGGTCCAACCTCCCCCCACCCCCACCTTCCTCCCTACCAGTTTGAAAAACTAATTTTAATTTTAGTAACAAATAATACCTCAGACTAAAGTTAGGATAATATAATTGACATTGCTGGATTCCTTAAGACCAGGAAATTTTTGAATATAAATGTCATATATTTTGCACAAAAGATAACATATTTACTAGAGAAACATTAGATCTAAAATTTGTATGTCTAATGCAAAATCTATGATGTTTATATTCAAAATGATCACAAATTAAAATTCCAGCAATGTAAATTATATTCTGCTGTAATTTGTATGAATTTTATGAGCTAAACAAAATATCTTCAGTTAATAAAAAAATATTCTTCACACCGGCTTCTCTAAGCTCCACTTGTGTTGGTGTATTAGTGGATGACATCATTGTAGACTCTGACCTCATGTTTTTAAGTCACCCTGTATATTTAAGCCTCTCTCTGTCCATGTAATCCAGTTGCCTCTGAAGATGTCTTGAATAAAACGAAAGCTAAGGTGCTCCATTGTTTCTTTTTCCCGGTGATTTTATCATATATATATATATATATATATATATATATATATATATATATATAATATATATATATATATATATATATATATATATATATATATATATATATATATATATATATATATATATATATATATATATATATATATATATATATATATATATATATATATATATAATGAAGAATGGATACAGTGTGACTGAGCACTTACCTTTAATGTAGTCAGCTGAATGCACACGGGGCACCCATAACTTTCTATTTACAGGATACATGGAGACTATATTAATTGGATGAAGCAGAGGAGGAGACAGGGCTGGGTGGGTCATCAATGTCGCTTTCTTCAGACAGGTTTATGTACAGGGGAAACTTGCTGGTTGAAGGTATTGGATCATCTTTAGGGAGTGAAGAGGCAGCACTGGTGGGGCGTGAGGAGACAGCAATGGGGGACTTCTTAAAATATATATCCAATTTAGACTGCACAGTTTGCTTTTTCTTTTCATTGTAAATTTCCCTGTAGCAAGCAAGTGCATCTTGGACCATTCTGTCAACTTTGGCAAAACGCTCATAATTTTGATCCATTCTGTCAAACATTTGCATCCCCTTATTAATTGTAGCAAATGCCTCTGCCATTTACTTTACTGAAAATTTTTTGGGGGTGCAGGTCCTTCTACATTTAGACTCGCTTCTTCCTCTGCATTTTTCTGTGCTTCCAGTTCTACGAGATCCTCGTTACTTAGCTCTTCTGCTACACTTTCAACCAACTGTTCAACATCTTCATTAACAATTTCTATCTGAAGCTGTTTACCTAACTCCACTATCTTGTTACTTATCTCAGAAATAACTTCATTTTCATTAAATCCTCTGAAACTGTTCACATATCTTTTCAGTATTTTCTTCCATATTCCATTCATGCACTGTTGTGTAACCTCATTCCAAGCTGCAATAATGGTCTTTATACATGTCAAAATGTTGTACTCCTTCCAAAACTGTCTGAGCGTTTTCTCACCTTCAGTAGCAGCAACAGCCTGAGCGAAGGTCGTATGTAAATAATTTGTTTTAAAAGCTGCAATAGCACCTTGATCCATGGGTTAGATGACAGAGGTAGTGTTAGGTGGAATGTAGACTACCTTAACATCAGGGTGCATGTCATCCAGGTGTGGTGGGTGTCCCGGAGCATTATCCCAAATCATCAAAATCTTGAATGCAATCCCTTGTTGCAAACAATACTCCTTGGCTCGAGGAATGAAACAATTCATGAACCAATCCTCAAACAGTACTAGGGTCATCCATGCTTTCTTATTACTGCGATAAAACACTGGCAGTGCTTGCTAACATGTTTAAAAACCCTGGGGTTCTCTGAATGATAGATCATGAAGGGCTTGATCTTGAAACCAGCAACATTCCCCCCCAACAAGTGTAATTCTGTCCTTGAATGCCTTGAATCCTGGCATTGTTTTTGCCTCTTTGTGGATGTATGTCCGTTCTGGCATGCGCTTCCATAATAAGCCAGTTTCATCCACATTAAATATTTGCTCAGGCAAATAATTTCCCTCCATGATGACACGATCTAGCTCCTCCTTTAAAGCTTTCGCAGCATCCACATCAGCACTTGCTGCCTCTCCACTCACCTTTACACTATGTAAACTGTAGCGGTTCTTAAACCTTCGGAACCACCCATGACTTGCTGTGAAGGTTTGGTAGCACTCATCTCCTGCCTGCTCTTTCAGGCTTTTGAAAAGGCTTCTTGCCTTAGCCTGTATGGTTAGAAGGCTTAAGGGTACACACTTTTGCAGCTGATCTTCCATCCACACCACAAGTAATTTTTCCATCTCATGAATAGGACCTTGTCTTTTTTTCGTTATTATTGTTCCCTTTATAGGTGCTGATCCTTTCACTACCTCACGAATTCGTTCCTTGTCCTTCAAAATTGTTGATATCGTTGAGTGAGAGAAGCCAAGGTCGCGTGAAATGGTTGCTCCCGTTTTTCCATTTTCATATTGCATTATTATTTTCATTTTCATCTCAAAAATAAGATCTCAGAATCATCTAATCATTTATCTATGGTTTTCAACAATTAGAGCCACCTGGTAGAAGGCATATACTGTAACTGTAAATGGGGGATTAATTTTATTTTCTAGTTAAGCCTGTAGCCAGTCAGCTGAGATACACTCTCCACCCTTGAGACTGAGGTTAGTCAGCTAGAAATTGAAGTAAATAGCAGATATTTCTTGAAATTTGACAACATGGCAGCACTTGGCAGTTACATACAGATTAGGTGGATATGAGCTCTATTAAACCTCCTGTCTCTAATGTGTAACCTTCTACTCTAAACTCCATCAATTAAGGAGGAATTGGTGACCATATGATCAATCCTCAGCTGCGTTGAGGTTGGGTAATGCAAGGTGGATGTGCACAATAATAAGAGCCACCTGGCTAAAAGCTCATCTAGAAAATATTAAAATACCTTGTATATTTTCATTGCAGGCTATGCATATACTACGCCCTATTTGTCATTTAAGTAGCCTGTACCTCTTTGGACAACAGTCCTGGGCACCATGGATACTGTCGTTAGGCATGGATGTAACAAGGTTAGTATAAGTACTGTACAAGATAAAGTACAATACCTGTATAACATTTGGTATTTTTGAAAGTATAATTTATATTGCCTTGGTAAAATTATTGTGTCATTTCATAACTTATAAAATTAGTGTTATTTTATTCAGTCATTAACATTAATGTGAAAATTCTTCATAGGTGTTTTATTTTTCATACAAGATTTATGTACCCAATATATAATATTCTTATTAGTGTACTAATTAAATTGTGAATTTTGTGCCTTTAGCCTGAAGTTGTACAACGAATCCCTGCTTACTGCTGCTGAAAAGACTGAACTAGCTGTCCGAAGAATCAACCTGTTGTATTATCTTGTGCGATCTCCAGCGTTCCATTCAGTCACCCATAGACGTATACAATATTTCTTGACTACTGTTGGAAATAGAATACCATTTGCTCGAACCATTTGTCAACCATTGCTTGATTACATCCCAGAGTGGCAAAAAATATATGCCTATACCTGGAGTTAAAATTTGGATTGCTGTACTATATAAGTGAGATTGATTACCAGGTTAGTCTATTATTTATACAGTACAGTATAACCTCACATAATTGTGTGAGCTATACGGGCAGACACATGTTTACAAATGTGAAAAATTAAAATTTCTGAAAAGTACCGATGTATACTGTACATATTTTATCTAAAATACATCCTAAGATAGTATTACAGTAGTAATAATGTGGTCATAAACATGTAACTTTAAAATGAAAAAGACTCATAAATTCAGTTTAATTAGGGGAAGGGACAGATACAATGTACATAAAATGAAATGTTGCTGAAGGAGTGATATTTGCTAAAATCTCTGTACAGTGAGTTCTGCTATAACGCGTGTTTTTATAACGTGAATTTGCTCTAACGCGATTTATGAATAGAGGAACGATATTTGTATAACGCGAACGCTTGTTTGCTGTAACGCGATTTTTGTTTACTATTTCTCCAATTTTGTGGTATTAACTGTGAATATGGTAAAGAAGAATATCTCCAAGAAGCGTTCTGGTGATCGAATTCCCGGTGATGATCGTAAAAGAAAGGATATAACACTTGAAGAGAAGCTCGACGTTATCAACCTCAAAATCACCCTTCTCCCCCATCAAGTTACATTCATATTTTTTCAAGGTAAAGTGTTATATTTACTGTATGATTTCATTATTAGATATGAATGTAACATTTATTTAGACTGTGCTATCCTTTGTGTTAGGCTAACTACTAAATTTTTTCGATTTCGAGTAATCTGCACCTAACCCTATTTTCTCCATAAGCCCTGTTATTTCTATTACGTGATTTTCTATAACACGATATTTTACAAGAACACAACTATCGCGTTATAGCAGAACTGACTGTATGGTTGTTGTAGCTGACTAGTTGAGTAATTTTTGTATTAAGATTAGACCATAATCGTGGATGCTAGAGTGAAAAACCTCCATTGGCAGAGTATAACTGCTTCAAACTGTTATGGTATTTTTTCTTAATGTATATCACTTGTACAGGTATCCCTTGCTATATGAATGAGTTAGGTTCCTTGAAAACCATTTGTTAAGTGAATAACATAACATAGGAAAAATGGGGTTCGGCTCCCCAACGACAAGAAAACCCCAATATTATACAGTGGTCCCTCGTTTTTCACGAGGGCTACGATCCATATATTACTGCGAAAGACCAAACCACGAATATTCTTTTCATGATTTTCACTTCCCATGTAATATTCAATATTATAACCTTTAACCTATACCTATTCACTTGTATGGCCTTAAACATGTTTCTAATGATCTGTGAACCTCTCTTCCTCTCACATATCATTAAATAACATGTAAAGACACCATAATAAAGAAACAAATAAAAAGAAAAATTATTTTATATACAGTACCCTTGTATTACATAACTAAAAAATGCAATGCATGTGGAATACTGTACTTACCAGCCTAGTTATGTAGTTCTGTCTTCTTGATCCTCCCTCCCAACTCTCCCCCTGGTACATCACAGCAGATGAGGATGAGTGAATGATGATCACTTTCACCACTTAACCGTGCATACAAAAGTTTACCTTTCTTTTGGATGAACTTGGAGTCAAGTGGTATGCGATGGCGGTTCAAATCCTCTATCCAAATGTTCAGCGCTTTCTCCATTTTAATCCGTGACAGATCTCTCACATGTTGTGTCACCTATGCTGCTACTGGCACACTAGCAGTAACTGCATCAACAATGTCTTTTTCATTTTTTATGTAACGAATTGTTGATTCGTTCATCCCATATGCCCTAGCGCATGCCACGTAACTCATCCTACTCTCAATTTTCTTTATTATTTTAACTTTCTCAACTAAGGTCAACACTTTTCTTTCTCTCTTAGGCCTCTTGGGTGAATTACCACCCTCGTCATCAACCTTTAGAAGGACATTTCAGACCCATGATGGGATTTTCAAGCACAAAACACATGGGTCGCAGCGAGATGTACAGTATACACATTATGGTAGGAAACACGAGAGAGACAAAGGAGAGGCAGGAAGCTGCACTTTGCGGTAGTGATGCCTGGCGGTTTCTTGCAGAAACTTTTTCACTGTGCAATTCAACCGCATATGAAATCAGTAATACCTATTGCAACAAAAATATATTTCTGATGAAAATCCGGTAATAGTCGAAACCGCACATAAAAAATCTGCAAAAAACGAGGGTGCATTATGCAGTACTGTACCTAAAAACAAAATGGTTTTACTTGAAATTTATAGTATTTTATTTACATGATGACTTATTTTTTACTTTCATTTACTGTATTTTGTCATTTTATTTCATCTTTTGATTTAAATTAAGTGATTTTAGATGTATATAAAGACTTAGGCTATGATATAGTGGGATTTTAAACATTGTAAGTACGGTATGTGCATAGCATGTGTTCCGACTTATGTACAAATCTGACTTAAGAATGTCCTCGAGAACGGAACCCGTTCGTAACCCAGGGACCCCCTGTAATTATATAGTGTGTGCGTGCGTGCGTGCTAAGTTTCTGGCAATATGTATAATATTTCATAATTTTTAATGTATTTTAATCTTATATCTTGGGATCATGTATAATATTAATATAGATTTTCATATCATTAATAAAAGGTAAACCTAAATGTAGGTTTGTTATGTATGTTACCTGGTCAAACATTCCATCAAACTACTCTTAGTAACTACTTTTAGCATGTGGTGAACTTGTTCCACTCATCCACTACTCTACTTCCAAACCACTGTTAACCTATATTGCATCTAAATTTGTCTAATTCAAAACCATTGTTACAAGTTCACTCCTAGTTGGATAGTTTGAGTACTTTTGTTAAATCACCTTTGTTTAACTCGTGTCTCACAGGACATGCTATGACTTGTGATATGGGGACAACATTGATATGATTTAAGGATAATGGGAGTTAGCACCCACCAAAACATGGGTAGTGTACAAGAATTAAATCAGGATTATTACAAATAAGTAGGTGGTGACATTTAGTGGTTAGTGACTCACCCTGTGGTAGGAGGTCCCTGACAATGGGACAGTCAATATAATACAATAGTGTTGAAGGGTGTTAGTGTAGGGACAGTTACAGAGTTTACAGGAAGAGAAATGTGGGTCATCCCCCACCTCAGATACTTGCCAGATAGGTCTGTACCCTAACCTAATGCGAGCAGAGCCAACATTATGTCTACAGACCATAATTCCACGTTGCCAATACTTGTGTGGATAAGGAAGAAAGTGATCATAGTGTTGGATGGTTATATTTTCAGCCCATTCACTATCCGTGCAATGGATTGTAGGGAGAAGAGCGGCTCGTATTCTCTTTCGGTAGATCATGCTGGGCTTCTATCTAGGCCTAAAAGGTCCTGATTGGACAGCCATAATTTTGGGAATCAGTTATTGATTAATCTCAATAGAAAGATTTGCAAATAAACATGTGTAATGTTGTCTTTTATTTTTATCTTTAGTTAACTATTTTTTCTAATTTATTGTGAATTTATTTTAATATTTGAGAATTAATAAATTTGTTATTTTTTATTTTCAGTACAGTACTTGAGTACTTTATGAATGAGATACTTTTTTACTTCTACTTGAGTACATTGATCTTTGGATACTTTTACTTCTACTTGAGTAACATTTTGCCAATGCAACAATACTTTACTTAGGTAACAAATTCTGGTACTTTTTACAACTGCTAATATGTTTTAGCATGATATATAGGTAGTATTTACATATGATTACATTTCAAGTGACATTCTTATACAATTAATTCATAAACATTATGGATGTGTTAAGAAACAAATTTGCAAATGTGGCCTGCTATTCCCTAGCAGGCACATCACTTTACACATGCTAAATTTTTCTTTCGTAAAGCACTATCAAACAATATACAAATGTGACTAAGATAGTCCTTTGAATTCCTTTGAATTACCGTATTTGACAGCGCATAAGATGCGTTTTTTTTTTTTTTTTTTTACGAATCACAAATTACCCGTGCTAATGCGCCCACATTACGCATGGGAGGCCGAGCACCGTAGGCGGAGGTGCCTAGCTAGGGAGTCTGGGACGAGCAGTAGTCTACTAAGCACAAAAACTGTGTTACTAATAGTATTATTAATAATAAAATACTCTACTGAAAAACAAGCCAAATTATCACAAACTTACGCCGAATTTGCCGAAGATGTAAATAATGGTTTACACTGTACATTGGCTTAACAGCAGAGGGAAGCTCACAACATCTCACTGTACCTCCTTCCCCAGCATACGTAACCCACACCAGATATTATTATTATTATTTATTATTATTATTATTATTATTATTATTATTTATTATTATACATGTCTTACATTATTTAAGGACTGTGTTACCTGTAAGAAACATTTGTTTATTATCTAAATGAAAAATGCCCCTAGAAAGATTAAAGAAATGTTAACAGAAAGTTCAGCCGCCAGTCCGCCATTTGCAATGAGTCGATGACACCAAAACAATAGCGATGGTGCTACTCTAGTGGCAGATTGCGGCAACACAAAACATCACAGCCAAAAATACGAGTTTCACGTCCTGTCGGCAGTTCTCTTGACCAGAATATAAACAAGCCACACAGGTGCTCTGATCAGAGGTAGAGTTAGTTTAGTATAATGTTACTCTATATGATTTCCTACGTGATTCCAGTATATGTTGTATTTACGTGCAAAAAATCACATGTTTTCCCCCACAAAACCACTTTAAAATCACTTTCAATAATTGTATGACAAAACATACTAAAAATAATTTTTCCACAAAATATCCTTGTAAAATAGGGGTGCGTCTTATATGGCGGCAAATACGGTACTTTGTAAGCAACTGTTATGTATGGAGAATTGGCAAATGGGAGGGGCCCAGGTAATGCTAGGGGTCAGCCTATCTCCTGGTTTATTACGGCCTATTGTATCAATCTGTAAATGGTATGCAAATGAGAGTACTGTATACACAGACAACCCGAAAAATAGAACACAGACATTGTGATATTAAATTGGTAGTAATATTCTATTTATTGCAAAAAATCTATCCAACTTTATTTCATGTATAATAGTAGGGAACTCATACTCATTAATTATGAAATATCGTTCTTTTTATTTCATAAAATTACTCATACAATGTTATAACACAAACTTTGTGTTTTAGCATATTAGGTCCATACACAAGTATGCTTGACTTAGATTCCTAAGCTTGACTACCCCTGCACTAGTGTCTCGATCAAGTCTTTACACCACCTGAATTTAATGACTATATATACAGTAAAAAATCTATATACAGCTACTCCCCGACTTATGACCTACTCGACTTACGACCACCCGGACATACGACTGCCTCAGTTGTACCAAAATTTTGTCAAATTACTTACTTTCGAGTCCCATCGTCGGTGATTGCGCTGTATACTGACAAAAATT